TGTCAACGTTTTCATCCTGGATGACAATGACAACAGTCCCTCGATTCTCGCGCCCTATTCTGAGCACGGCTCCGTTAACACTGAGAGCATCCCCTATTCTGCTGAAGCGGGATACTTTGTGGCAAAGATCAGGGCTGTAGACGCTGACTCGGGATACAATGCGCTGCTTTCTTATCACCTCTCTGAGCCCAAAGGAAACAACCTCTTCCGGATCGGAACCAGCACCGGGGAAATCAGGACTAAGAGGAGGATGAGTGACAACGACCTGAAAACTCACCCCTTGGTGGTGCTGGTCTCTGATAACGGAGAACCCTCCCTGTCAGCTACTGTGTCTATTGATGTCACGGTGGTTGAAAGCTCAGCTGACATCCAGACTCAGTTCAGACATGTGCCCATAAAGGAGGACAGCTTCTCGGATCTAAACCTGTACCTGCTGATCGCCATCGTGTCGGTGTCAGTCATCTTCCTGCTGAGTCTCATCAGTTTAATAGCTGTCAGATGCCACAGGACAGACGGCAGTTTCAGCAGGTACAGCGCCCCCATGATCACCACCCACCCTGACGGGAGCTGGTCTTACTCTAAATCTACTCAGCAGTATGACGTCTGCTTCAGCTCAGACACGCTCAAGAGTGACGTAGTGGTTTTCCCCGCAGCGTTTCCACCTGTAGACGCTGAGCTGATCAGTATTAACGGAGGAGACACGTTTACTAGGACTCAGACTTTACCCAGTAAAGATAAGGTAAGGACAGCAGTTTATAACTTTAGACAAAACAGTGAGCCTCACTAAACACTGGCCTTGTTTCCTTTTTATTAACTTAGTTTTTCCTTCCTTCTGTGTCTCTAAGTATATTACACAGTTCAAACGTGCTGTTGTTGACACTTATTGCTTCTATTTCCTCGTAATTATATTGTTTGAAAATGTAAAGTTTTACATTGTAATGTGGATCCGTGCTTTGAGGTTCATTACAACAGTCGCAGTCCATTGTACTGTCTACATATACTAGTTTGTGCAGATAATTGTGCTGATGTTGTTCTGTTCTTATACATATAAACAGAGGTTTCATTGAAAACCTTCTAACCTCAAGTCACAGCAGTATGATGTTGATATATACAGAACTTTATTCATTATTTTCCTTCAAATTTGGCAAGTGTCATACTTATCAGTTTATCTTTGACTGTGGCATTGATACAACAAGCTAGTTGTTGTGGCTGGAAAGTATAAAACGTAAATTTGAATGTGCGACGTTTACGTTGTTTTCTTCATAGTTCATTCATTCGCCATAATATTCGAGTCTCACTATCAAGGATTTTCTAATGCCTCTTGCCTTCTGTCATTTCTTTCAGCTTCCTTAATGGCCTTTTATAACATTAGCGATGAGGTGTTAATTAGTCTATTTGGTCATCTAATTTAAGATGCATTTTAAACCTGTTTTCCTGGTTAAAACTGCCTAAAATACATTTTCATCGAAGGCATAAACATGACACCCACAGACAACTATGCTGAGCCTTATTTTGAAATGAATATAATGCATATTCACACTGCGCTGCATCAAAGAGAGATGGTTTGTGGAACATTAAACAGCTTTTTCTTCTGTAATGTAATTTGTCAACAAGACCATAGGGAGGCACTATAGACCATAACACAGAGACGGCGTTTATTCAAATCCTGAGGCCACTCCCAGATTAAGTGTGTGAGGATGTCGGGTTGGGCTTTGACACAAAGAGACTCAGAAGTACAGAAGGAAGGCTGGGACACGATCTGTACTATGGACAAATGAGAAGAAAACAAACCCCGTTTCTGTCACTACTCGACATCCATTAGACTTGTTTCTATGTTGGTTTCACGTCGGACTGGATTATGTCTTCATTTAACAGGAGTGCTGTGGTGGCATACCTTCTATTTGTGCTACTGGATTGTTACTGGGAAGCGGTGTTAGGGCAGCTCTCTTACGCCATATCAGAAGAGGTGAACCCAGGGACTACCGTTGGAAATGTAGCCAGGGATTTAAACCTCAGTGTCGATGATCTGGAGTCTCGTATGTTTCAGATTGTTACCGGATCGAAGAGGAAATATTTCGAGGTAAATCAAAAGACTGGTATTCTCTTTGTGAATGACAGAATAGACAGAGAGGAGCTGTGCGCCAAGGCAGCGAAATGCACAGTGAGCGTAGAGGCTGTGATAAATGCTCCACTGAAGCTTTACCGGTTAGAAATAAATATTCTTGATGTAAATGACAATTATCCGTCTTTCAGCACTAATTCACAGAACCTTGAAATAGCTGAAAGCACATTACCCGGGACGAAATTTCTTGTGCTATCGGCCTATGACGCCGATGTAGGAAAAAATGGTGTTAATACATATAAGCTCACTCAGAATGACTATTTTTCATTGTCGGTGAACAAAGGAGAGAGTGTATCTGCAGAGCTAGTCCTCCAGAAACATTTAGACCGAGAAAAACAGCCTGTAATTACACTCACGTTGACTGCTGTTGATGGAGGGACGCCACCAAAATCCGGAACATCACAGATAATAATAAATGTTTTGGATAATAATGACAACACCCCAGTCTTTACCAAATCACTGTATAAAGCAAGTATTACTGAAAATGTCTCGCCTGGTACATCAGTAATAAAAGTAACTGCAACAGACGCCGACGAAGGGCCAAACGGGGAGATTTCATATTCACTGAGCAGCAAAGATCAAGATCATGTTTTGGAAATATTTCAAATTGATGAGCACATGGGTTTATTGACAGTTAAGGGACACATTGACTTTGAAGAGCACCCTGCTTTTGAAATCCGTGTGCAGGCTAGTGACAGAGGACAGCCTCCAATGGCAGCACAGTCCAAGGTATTAATAGAGGTGGTGGATTTAAATGACAATGCTCCTGAAATATCTGTAACATCACTGACTGACACAGTAAAAGAGGACGCAAAACAAGGTACCGCTGTTGCACTTGTGTCAGTCCTGGACAGAGATGGAGGTAAAAATGGACTAGTTAAATGTGATATTAAAAATGACAGCCCCTTTAAATTGGAAACAAATTATAAAAATTATTATTCTTTGGTAGTAGACGGGCAGCTGGACAGAGAGCGTGCTTCGTATTATAATATCACCCTCACAGCTATAGATGATGGAACCCCACCTCTCACGACCACCAGGGACCTTACAGTTTATATTTCCGATGTCAATGACAACCCGCCTCGTTTTACAGAGAATTTAGTCAATGTTTATTTGAAAGAAAACAGTGCCATTGGAGTTGTTCTAAAAAGAGTATCTGCACTTGATGCAGACGTTGATCAAAATGCTCAGGTAACCTATTCAGTTATCGAAAGTAACAGTAAGTCATTGCCACTATCTACAATGATGAACATCAACTCAGAGACAGGAGACATAGTCAGTTTACAGTCTTTTAACTATGAGCAGATGAAAACCTTTCAGTTTAAAGTCCAGGCCACAGACTCTGGTGTTCCTCCGCTCAGCACCAACGTGACTGTCAACGTTTTCATCCTGGATGACAATGACAACAGTCCCTCGATTCTCGCGCCCTATTCTGAGCACGGCTCCGTTAACACTGAGAGCATCCCCTATTCTGCTGAAGCGGGATACTTTGTGGCAAAGATCAGGGCTGTAGACGCTGACTCGGGATACAATGCGCTGCTTTCTTATCACCTCTCTGAGCCCAAAGGAAACAACCTCTTCCGGATCGGAACCAGCACCGGGGAAATCAGGACTAAGAGGAGGATGAGTGACAACGACCTGAAAACTCACCCCTTGGTGGTGCTGGTCTCTGATAACGGAGAACCCTCCCTGTCAGCTACTGTGTCTATTGATGTCACGGTGGTTGAAAGCTCAGCTGACATCCAGACTCAGTTCAGACATGTACCCATAAAGGAGGACAGCTTCTCGGATCTAAACCTGTACCTGCTGATTGCCATCGTGTCGGTGTCAGTCATCTTCCTACTGAGCCTCATCAGTTTAATAGCTGTGAAATGTCACAGGACAGACGGCAGTTTCAGCAGGTACAGCGCCCCCATGATCACCACCCACCCTGACGGGAGCTGGTCTTACTCTAAATCTACTCAGCAGTATGACGTCTGCTTCAGCTCAGACACGCTCAAGAGTGACGTAGTGGTTTTCCCCGCACCGTTTCCGCCTGTAGACGCGGAGCTGATCAGTATTAACGGAGGAGACACGTTCACTAGGACTCAGACTTTACCCAGTAAAGATAAGGTAAGGACACAGCTGCATTAAGTATTTATAACTGCAATATTTCTATACTGATAATGGGATTCGATCTTTATTTGTGTTGTTTCCGAGGCCTCTGTGCTATGTAGCTTTCAAATCAATAAATCTGAACTATCGTGATATGAATAATAGTTGGATTAGGTTGATATCTTAAACTCTAAGTACATCTCCACTGAATGTGTAATCCTATTCACTGCTGTTTTGTAGACTGAAGGTCACTATCCGTGGTGCTGAACAACATTATTTGAATGTGAGTGGCTGGTATTTTTTTAAGCATATAGAAAATAATTAAAGACCATGGTCAGGTGAACCTTATATAAGAGTACTTTTACACATACCTTATACAGTGGTTATTAATAGAGTACTTCAAACATCTCACCAAAGTTAAGAATATAGCTGTATTAAGTAACAGTATTTACACTATTTTAAACTCTATGGCATTTACAAGGCTTTCTGTGTTAATCAAAGAAGACGTAATGTCAAGTAAAAATAACCATTTAACTAACTTTATATTTTCGTGCTGTAGACCGTAGCGTGCTGTTCATTTGTTGGTGGGTTTTAAATGTCACTGTGGCTGTTGATTCCACAGTGACAGATTTCATAATTTATGCTGAACCAAATTCTTTTGATTTCGTTTTTCGTCATGTTGCTTGTAAGTGAAAAATCCAAGTGCATAAGGAGGAGAATATGATTTAAAAAACAACTTTCATAATATATCTTGAATATTTGTAATCGGAAGTTTTTGTTTGTATTCTGACACATTTAATAGGATAATTATTTCTGTTTGAGGAAAACCAAGAATGGCAGGTTGAAGCATTGCTGTATTTGATGTATCATGTAGTTATGACACATGTCCACGTGGGGACAGTATAGACTATCACATTAAGAGGTTCGCCTTGGTTAGTCAGTGCTCCTCCCAAACTCAGCGGATCGTGCGTCGGTGTGCTTTGTCACAAAGAGAGCTCGGACGACAGAGAACCATTGTCTTGTTTAGTCCTGAAAATGTGTAAGTACTTCAGTAGAATATTTCGTCCCTGATGTCGGCCTCGTGGTTGCAGTAGCATATTGTTTATGTCTGGCTATATACCCGTTCTCGATGAAAGGAATTATGGCTTTGAGGAGCAGAACCCATTCTCTGTGGATATCTCTCTTGTTTGTGCTGATTGCTTTTTACTGGGAAACCGTGTCTGCACAGCTCTCTTACTCCGTCTCAGAGGAGGTAAACCTGGGGACTGTTGTTGGAAATATCGCTAAAGATTTGAACATTAATGTCCAGGAGTTGGAGTCTCGCATGTTTCAGATCGTTGCTGGATCAAAGAGGAAATATTTCGAGGTAAATCTGAAGACTGGTGTCCTCTATGTTAATGAGAGAATAGATCGAGAAGAACTCTGCGGCGACGAGCCCAAATGTTCCCTCAGTGTAGAAGCTGTTATTAACAATCCATTAAAGCTGTACCGTATTGAAATGATCATCTTAGATGTAAATGATAATTCCCCATCATTTTTCAGCACGTTACAGGTAATTAACATAACTGAGATCACAGCAACAGCAACAAAATTCCCCTTACAACGAGCTCACGACGCAGACGTGGGTAAAAACACTGTAAATATGTACAAGCTCAGTCAAAATGAACATTTCTCTTTGGCTACCCATAAAAGAGAGACTGTAACTCCCGAATTAGTTCTTCAAAAAGTTTTAGACAGAGAAAAACAGCCTGTGATTCGCCTCACACTGACTGCCATTGATGGGGGGACTCCTGCTAAATTTGGCACAATGAACATAGTAGTTAGTGTTTTAGACATTAATGATAATCCTCCTGTATTCAGCCAAACACTGTACAAAGCCAGTGTTTATGAGAATGTAAAAATAGGAACATCAATAATAACACTAAATGCTACCGATGCAGATGAAGGCCAAAATGGGCAAATATTATATTCCTTAAGTAAAGTAGACCGAGTGGCCAAAAATGATCTGTTTGCTATAGATGAAAAAACGGGGACTGTCACAAATATAAAGAACATCGACTTTGAAGAGAATAATGCTTTTGAGATTCGAGTACAGGCGAGTGACGGAGCTGCCTCACCTATGACGTCACATGCCAAATTATTGATTGAAGTTTTAGACGTCAATGACAATGCACCAGAGATTTCAGTCACATCACTGTTAAACATCGTTAAAGAAGATGCGTCCACTGGTACTGCTATTGCACTTGTTTCAGTAGTTGATAAAGATGGAGGTAAAAATGGGATGGTGGACTGTAAAATTTCCAACAATGTCCCTTTTAGATTAGAGTCAAATTATAAGAACTATTACTCATTGGTGGTGGACGGTCCTCTAGACAGAGAAAGAGCTTCGCAGTACAACATCAGCATCACAGCTACTGATGAAGGGAGTCCACCTCTCTCCAGCACAAGTATTGTTACTGTGCACGTCTCAGATGTAAATGATAACAGACCTGTGTTTACAGAAAGTGTTATTAATATATACGTGAAAGAAAACGGTCCAGTAGGAGGAGTTATAAAAACTGTTTTAGCTACTGATGCAGACATTGATCAAAATGGCCACGTGACCTATTCATTACTACATGACAACAGTAACTCATTGCCACTATCTACAATGATTAACATCAACTCAGAGACAGGAGACATAGTCAGTTTACAGTCTTTTAACTATGAACAGATGAAAACCTTTCAGTTTAAAGTCCAGGCCACAGACTCTGGTGTTCCTCC